TATGAAAAAAAAAATGAAGATCTTGAACCTACATCTATTAAATAATGTAGGCATAGAAATAATTGGCTAATTTGAAAAGACTCAATCAAGGTGGAATTAAATTCAACTGCGAAATCTAAAATTTTTGGACCTGTAACTCATAAAATAAATTGTGTAAAACCAGTGAGATGTAAATGGATATTTTATGTGAAAACAAAATGAGAAAAATGAGATTGTGAGATTTAAAGCATGGTTAGTCGCACAAGGTTTTACCTAGAAACTTGATATTGATTATAAGGAGACATATTCTCTTGTAGTGGATGCAATTAATTTTCTTGTATTTAGTTAATCTAGTAATACATGAGAAGATTAAAATGTATCTAATGAATATAGCTGCAGCTTATTTATATGGCTTACTTGATATTGATATCTATAAGAAAATTTCTTCAAGATTTAAGTTACATTATACACATATACAATTCTCGAGAAATTTATTCAATCAAATTAAATAAATATGTATATGGATTAAAGTAATATGGATGCATGTTGTATAATTGCCTTAATGAATATTTGTTAAAAGAATGCTATAAAAATGATCCTATATGCCTATGTGTTTGTATTAAAAGATTTAGATATAAATTTGTCATAATTATTATTTATTTTAATGACCTAAACATTATTGAAACTCTTGGAGAGTTAGCAAAAGCCATAAATTATTTAAAGAAAGAATTTAAGATGAAAAATCTTAAAAAAACAAAGTTTCATTTGAATCTTTAGATTGAGCACTTGACAAATGGAATTGTTGTTCATCAATTAAATTATATAGCAAAATTGTTAAAACTATTCTATATCCACAAAGCACGTCTATTAAATTCACCAATGGTTGCAAAGTCACTAGATTTGAAAAAGAATCATTTCCAATCTTGTGAGGATGATGAATAACTTCTTGGTCCTAAAGTATCACATCTTAGGTAATCAGATCACTAATATATCTTACTAGCAATACACGAACTGATATATCATTTGTTGTAAATTTATTAGTAAGATATAATTCTTTTCTAACTTGAATACATTAGAATGAAATTAAACATATACTTCGATATATTTGAGGAATAATGCACATAAACTTATATTACTCAAATGGATCAAAATTAGATTTAATTGGTTATGCAAATACAAAATATTTATTTAATTCATACAAAACTCGATCCCATACAAGTTACTTATCCATATATGGAGGTATGACTATTTCATGATATTTTGTAAAACAAATTATAGTTGCCACTTTTTCTAACCATATAGAAATTTTAGTAATTCATAAGGCAAGTTATGAATGTGTCCAGTTAAGATCTATTTCTCAAAATATTCAAGAAACATGTTACTTGTTAACCAAGAAAAAAATTTCAAAAACGTTATATGAGGATAACACTGTTTGCATGGTCCAATTAAAAGAATGAAATATTAAAAACGTAGAACAAAACATATTTCGTCAAAGTTCTTATTCACTCATGATCTCAAAGAAAATGGTGATATTAGTATTCAATAAATTCATTCAAGTAACAAGCTAGCAAATTTTGAAAAGTTAATACAAAAGATTGGAAAGTGTCATTTTAAATATTTTAAATAATGTAGTCATCAAGAGGAGTAAAATACGTACTATACTCATTTCTTTCATCAAGAGTTTTTTCACTAAGTTTTTCTTGGTAAGGTTTTTAATGAGGTAGTATTTCAAAAATTTATTCTTGAAAAGAATTGTATACTCTTTTTCTATCACTCAAGTTTTTTCCATGAGGGTTTTTTTTTCTAATGTTTTAGCATAAAATATTCTAAATACAATCGACATTTAAGGATAGTGTTATGAATATATGTATGAATGTTTATTATGTTATGATATAAAAAAGTCAAACTAAATCAAACAACGTAACAGGCCAAACACAAAAAGTGTAATATAATTTGAACTCTTAGATTTGATTATGTATGTTTAGATATAGATTAAATTGGATAAAAATAAAAATTTAATGAGTTATTAACGTATAAATATACATATCATTTCATTTGCAAATACACATTGTCGAATAAGATCTTCTTACTCTATTAATATTTTTTTCTCATAATTATTTTTTCAATTTATATTTCATAACAGTAATTCAATTGTTATTGAAATTCTAAATATATATATTACTACTAATATGAAAAAATGGAGAAATATATTTTAAATTAAGTTTTTGTAGAGTTAGAGAAAATAAAAGTTTTGCAAGAAAAGGAAACATAATAAATATTGATATCTTATTAAAAAGTCAAAGAATTTAAAAAATTTCACCTCATGAGAATTTAAACCCCTCCAAAATCTCTTATTCAAATTCTCATAGTTTTAACAATTTCAAATTTTAGTTTCCCAAACAAGATAATTCTTTCATTTTAGAATTTCTAAATTTTCTTTACAAATGAAATCTTTTTTTGAAATCATTGATCCAACCGTATCCTTAGAGTATATACGGTAATTGGTTTTGTTAATCTCCATACGGTTCCTATTTGAATTAAGGGAAATGTAAAAATATTTAACAATTCAATTATCTAATTAATAACAAACAATAACTATTTAGGAAGCCTAAAATCAAATGCAAATAGTAATATTGTACAATTATCTAACAAAATAACATTCATTACAGTCTTAAATAATATCTTCACACTTTAATTGTCATCCACATGTGCACTCATATAAAATTAATTGCTGTGTTTCACACTTTAATGTATTTGGGTAGTAGCGAGCATTTACTTTAATACACACGTGCTTCCAAATCCAAGAAAGAAGTGAAATTATTCCCTAAGCTTGGAATAATTGTTCCATTATTCTAGGTCTAACCGTACCAACGGCATCAAATTAAAATAATATTACAGAAGTTAGTCCTCAGGCTTACAATTAATCACGTAAATGTCCCCACCAATAATTGGGCATTACGGTAAATTGAAGAATACAGAAGCCGTTGTTTGGAAGCACACTTAAGTTATTCCAAATTCCATATTAATCAAATATTTTAGAGGTTTTTTCCTTAAAGCAATAGCGTTCGATTTTTTTTTTATTATTATTTGTATTAATGGAGTTGGACCACTTATTCATTAACAGTTTTTATCATATCCATTACTCTTTAACGATCAATTTCTTTATTTATTTTTACCGGAGATTCTTTATATATTGGTTCGAGTTTTATAGTCATTAAATCGTAATTTATAAAATAATAAGTATTTTTTTATCTCGTAAATTTTACATTTTTTTATGAAGAGTTTTAAATTAAAAACATTACATCAAATGTAGCATTACAAGGTAAGAATTTAGCTGATTAGGCTTTTGACTACTTAAGCTTCACATTTGATGGACCACCTCCAATTTCCATGACTATCTTCTTTTTCAATTTCGAATATTAAAATCACAACAAGGGTTGAATTTGGTTCAAAGATAGATCACTTCCAAATTCTAAAGTCATTTAGTAAAATAAATAAATAATTAAAATTTTAATTTTATTATTTCGAAGGAGTTTTTTTTTATTCTTTTTACCTTAAAGGTGTGTCCTTAGAGCAAATTAAGGATAAGAAGCCTTATATTTGAATTTTAAAATTTGCATTATCAAAAAGTAAATTTAAGTTTTAAATATGATATAGAGTACATTGAAAAGGAGGGTGGAAGCAGTTAAGATTCTTATCTTGAGAGGGAGAGGACGCATGCAAATGGTTACGTTACAATAGGGGTATTACAGCAGCCTACGCATACGGGGCTCTGTTTTGTTTTGTTGGGTTTCATAATATCAAAGGGAATCGGTTTTTGAGGCGGGAAGTCACCATCCCCCATACGATAACCGAAAGCTACATCCCCTCACTCCCTTCTTTGGCCTTTGCCCTCTTTCTCCCTCCCATTTCCCTCGTATTTACCATTGTGCTCCCCCTTTTTAACGTCTTAATGTCTAAAGCTGGCCGACCTCTCCCAATCTGTTCCTGCTCAGCCCAAGCACATATTCTTTTTTCTCTTTTGTGTTTTCCCCTTTCCCTTTTTTTTTCTACCCATAAAGAAACAAGCAGCGGGCGTGTACAAACTCTGTTTTAGCCCTTCGTTCATCATTTAATGCTTATTTACTCCTTTACTAAATACCGTCACCCCATTTATTTCCATCTTTCATTTTTGTTTACCTACCCCTCTTTCGCACAATTTTTTTGGGTGGGACCATACTACCAAAAGTGAAAATGCGAGGCCCATGGCCCCACTCTTGATTCTCCAACTTCTGATTCTCCCATGCAATTGGTGGACCACAACCTTTCAGGCATACTGCACCATTGTCACTGCATCAAGCTTCCTCTATTTATCAGTTCTATTAGTTTTAATATTAGCTACATCTTTCTTGTTGTATTTGGTTGCCAAATTATTTAACACATAGTATTAATATAAATTTTACTAATAGTCTAGTAAACAGGATGTATTAAAGAAGATGGCATAATTCTATAAGAATTATTGAGTGAAGTGATGAAAGAATGTAAGCTAAAAATGTCCTAATGTAGTAGTAGTATGAAGTCAAGAGTAACTAATATAAGAATATTACTACTAGTATTTTCCTTGTAAAATCCACTTTTCCTTCCCTCTTATTCTATAGGGTACTGTAAAGGTACCATTGGCGGCCTTTAATTAGTACTATTGGAACACTAGGAATAATGTCAAGATTTGCTCGTTAAAGGAATTACAAGATAATAATATGGAAGAACATAGACGGCAAGCAAAACGACACCGTCAAGGACCTCATGGTGGGGTCCCCTACTCCTAGCCTAGTCTGAGGTGCTTCATTTTGTTGGTTTTGTGGCTTTCAGATGGTACACAGTTGCAATTGTTTCATTGACTGCTGCTGGGAAAAATGTGGGACCAGATGACTATTTGGTAAATAAATTTAGAAAACAAGGGTAAACTTACTTAAAAATAAACTGATTCAAAAGAGGAAGCTTATGGAGCCAGAGGGGAAAGGGGAGGGAAGGGAAGGAAAAGAGAGAGAGAAAGAAAGGGCGGGTGAGGAAAGGGCAGGGGCTTCACTGAGAGGCTATTGCCGCTTTGCTTTTGCTCATTGGCATATTATTCTCTCTTTATTATTTTTATTTCCTTGGAAGCTACTTTTCTTCACTTTATATCTGTACTTTACTTTGTTCCCCGTTTCTCTTCTGCTGCTGCTTCTTCTTCTTCTCCTTCTCTTCCTACTACTACTACTACTTCTTCCTACTTCAACTTCTTCTTTGTTTTAACTTCTATCTTAACTATTTTCTCTCTTTCCCAACGCTTAAGAACAATGGCAGAAATGATCCATCCTCCCATGGACCAGCTGCAAGACCTTGAATACTGCATAGACTCTAACCCTCCTTGGGGTACGTGCACTTCTCTCCTTCTCTTTTGTTTAGTGTTGTTTTGATTATTTTATAACTAAAGTAAATGACGGAAATGGGGTGATGGGTCTTGACTCTTGAACTTAGTTTCTTTGATGTTTTCTGGTCCTCTTCCATTTTTCTCTTTGGTGTTCTCATTGGGGTAATGGCTTTAAGCTTTATGACACTGGAGTGGTGCAGTAAAAAAGAAAGACAGATGAAGTTGTGGGTCATAGCTATGGCTAAAAATTAAAGGCTTGTTTTATAGTCAATAAAGTCTGTAACTTTGCATTTCTGTGAATGCAATATTAGATATTATGGTGTAGTTATTATGAACTTGACCCCAGTAGAAGGAAAATAAATTATTTTTTAAAAAAGAAAGATTACTTTTTTTTTTCATTTTTTAACCGTTTCTGTCAAGTTTTGTTGATAGTATGATTGTTCATAGTATTTAATAAGTGCAACAGTTTGCTGCAAACATTTATTTCTTAGTTTCCTCATAAAAAGCTGATTTTTCGTTTAATTTTTTAATGATTTTAAGGTCAAGTGAGTTTTCCCATTTCCTAATTTGTTTGAATGGTTAAAAATTATCTTGAAAGCAATGAGTTTGTTGTAATGTGTATATTGGGTTCCTTTTCCTGTATTTTCTCGGATACCAAACAGAGAATTCGTTGACATATATGGTGTTCGGGACTTAACTGAATGGGAATGGCATTTCTGTAATATCTCTTTTACTCAACAGAACAATCCTCTTTGGTTGCCTACAAAAGCGGTCGTGCTTGATGAATGCAAATAGTGGGTAACCATTCACTTTGTATGATAACAGTCGTCAACTTGGAAATGCAGTATACTCATGCAAGTTGTAGGGATCATGCCTTCAGTATGACTGCAATGACCATAGCCTGGGAGAGGATTTTTTTTTTTCCTGTGACAAGATATCATATAGCAATGGCATACTTTCATTTATAATTACCTTCTCTTGGTATAGATTCACTCAGATGGCTGATACCAAGTTGGAAGAGAACATACACATTATGCATTTGCTTTTAGTAATCAATTCAAGTTTCTTAAGGACATTTCTAGTAGTCCTGGGTTTTAAGATTAGCCACACTGTTTACTGGGCTGCTTGCTAATTTTCTATTTCCAATTGCTTTACTTGGGTACTCTTCGAAACAAGCAACCCTCACCTCCCCTATCCTTGCCCTGTGTCTGGAGCTTTAACTTTCAAACAACCTATAGGCTTAACATTGGGCCACATAGAGACAAAAAAAGGTAAAGAAATGTTGAGCGTTGGATTAGTTACAACGTGTTTAAAAAATGATGGTTGAAATTCACTATTGACAAAAACGAAAAAAACATTTGTGGTCCTCATTGGATCAAGTTATGCTTAAGGAGTGCATTCCATGGTGGATGCAACTAACATAAGATGCTTTTGATGGATGTTTTTATGACCACAGTTATGATTTAGGGCAGTTAATAAATTGTCAGAATCTGGTGAATTTTCCCATCACGAGCCCATCAAGAAAATACTATGCTCTTGCTGTACACAGAATGTCTTATAGACAGTTTTATTGATGTAGATCTCATCTCTGCTCCACCATAAGGGTGTAGTACAAATTTATGTGGATCAACCGCAAGAATTAAGGGATTCTAGGTTTTTGTTCAAACCTGAAGCTGCATGCAGAGTAAAATTTAGGTGATAAGGGATTCTAGTTATTTTTTCACACCTGTAGCTGCACTGTAATCACTTTTTTGTCACTGTATAGATGCACTTTATTTGTTTGTATGTACAAATACAGCATTGTCACTCTGTACATTGTTAATGTTAATAATTCAACAATTACTTAGTATTGCACCCGAGCATTTGGCTCATTGGTTAGTACATTATCCCCCTGCTTAATGAGCAGGGTTCGAATTGCCCCTCCCTTAATTAAAAAAAAAACGATTACTTAAGTATTCAGGTCAAATTAAGTCAAAACTAATGTAAATTAGAAACAAGTCTTCATTTTGACATTGTCAAGTTCAGATGCATAGGTATCAAGTTTACCGCTAAATATCTTGCTCGTGCTTATAAACAAAGCTTTTTCTTGCAGCTGAAACCATCCTATTAGCATTTCAGAACTACATCCAGATGTTGGGTACAAGTGTAATGATCCCTTCATTGCTCGTCCCAGCGATGGGTGGAAGCGATGTAAGCTGGTTATACTCAACTTTGTACATTATCTTAAATATTTTTTAGCCATTTATCATCTTAATTTATGCTTGGCTTACATCATAAGTTGCTGCCTGGCCAGAGGAGCTATACGGGTAACTTTGAACCAAGTTGTTATTAATTCCTGACTAGTATTATTTTTGAGGTTAATCGGCCATCAATTAAGGAGTTGAAATTAGACCTTGTTTTTTTGCTTCTTTATTTTTCTTCTTCTCAATTTCATAGTAGATTGAAAACAGGAAATGGTATTGGGTTGAATTTTTGTCTAGAGGAACTTGCGGGGACTACTTACCATGACATTTATCCTTCTGCCAAAATTTTCTCCTTTTCTTTAACACCTTTTCTTTTTCTATATCCATTTTTTGGCTCATAACCAGGGAGACAAAGCACGGGTAATACAGACTTTGCTCTTTGTAGCTGGCATTAACACACTTCTCCAAGCACTCTTTGGAACAAGGTTGCCAGCAATTCTTGGAGGCTCTTATGCTTATGTCATCCCAATAGCCTATATAATAAATGACTCATCATTGCAACGGATTAGCGATCGACATGAAGTAAGTTGCTTGTTGGCAACCACCGTCCGTTTCTTTATTGTTGAGCACTTACAAACCATATAAATATAGCTGACAAGATTGACAAAAACTTTTACTGCATAGTGTTTGAACACCAGAACTGTGTGAACATATATATGCCAGCAAAGGTAGTAGTGAGAATTCTGCCTTCTAACCTGGCTGCTGGAGTCATCAGTGAGGCATTGCTCAGAGAAAGTAACAACTCTTCTTTTTCTCGATATTTGTTGGAGAAGACAAAGAACTCTGAGATTGCCAGGAGTTATCGTTGAGACAGATATCTTAATTTAACCTTTCACAGTAATATCAGAGTAGCAGGTGTCAATGTCCTAACATGCTTACCTTATAAAATTGATTCATCATGGACGACAATGTAGTCATATGAAAATGCATAAGTTTTAGTTGTTTGTTACACTCAGCTACCAACATTCGTTCAAATAAAATGGGTCATGGAAACGTCACTTAAATGTGTTTCTTTCTCTTAATTATAATATGCTTATTACAAACGGTGTGTTTTAAACTCTACAGATGCTTATTACAAATCTGATGTTTTTAAACTCCCGGTATCAAAAGCTGTGCTACTGTAAGTGCAGTGTTCAATCAGTGCCGGCTTACATCCCACTAGAGATGTGTCTTCAATTTGATTCCCTTCTCAAAAATTGAACTTTCTCATTTGCTAGGGGTAATTGAAAGAGATCTTCCCATGTGATTGGTTTGCAGAGATTTGTACAAACGATGCGAGCTATCCAAGGAGCTCTTATTGTAGCCTCAAGCATACAAATCATCCTGGGATACAGCCAAGTTTGGGGTCTCTTTTCACGGTACATTGATAGCATATGAAAATGCGAAATTGTTAACCCCCCAGTGTAGTATTATATTGTTCACTGTTGTTTTTGTTTTCTATGCAGGTTTTTCAGTCCACTTGGTATGGCACCAGTGGTTGCATTGGTAGGCTTGGGATTGTTTCAGAGAGGATTTCCTTTGGTAGGTGTTGCTGTATAAGGGAATTTGTTTTTGACATTGAGCATCCATTGATTGATTCTGAGTATGGAACTTCAATTTAATATGTTTAGCACCTCTAACAGCCACATAATCAGGAATGCTGGCATCTGAATTTTAATTTTTTAGTTCTAGCTCATTGAATATGATTGCTATTTTTATGTGCAATCCAAATTCTGTGTCATGGAAAGTTACTAACCTATCCTTTTTGTCCACGGATGATTAAAATTGTTTAAAGGTTACACATAAACGTAGTCGCTTAAAAGGTACCTAGTCTTCATTCCCACTTGTTTCTGTTCCTAATCTTTAGTTCATATTAGCTACCCACTTACTGGAAAAGATAACCAACCATTACTTAAAGTAATGAAAATTAGCTTCTATTAGGAAAATTACACGTAATGGATGTGTAAGACTAGTTAACAACATTAAGTTATCATATTATGGTTCCAAACATATTTCATGTAATTTTTCTCAGTTAAGTGGATTTTCTGATTTCAACACTAGGATTGTTTATTTAGCTCTACAAGGAATGAGATTCTTACATTCCATTATTGACTTGAAGTATCTACCATTCAAACTTCATTTCGACCGCAATGTTTTAGTTTAACAGATTACTTATGGTTGCAATATACCAAAACTTACTGAGATCAGCTGAACTGTGTATTCCCTGTTTCTATGTGAGTATCACACACACACCTCTAATTCCTTATTTGCCATATTTGTTTCAGTTGGGAAATTGTGTGGAAATCGGGTTGCCAATGCTGTTATTGGTGATTGGGGTGTCACAAGTAAGTGTTTAGTATAATTATTACAATATCAGTTTTTTTTGTTTTCTCCTTTTATTTATTCATTTACTTATTTTGCTTGGCTTTTGGCAATTGCAGTATCTAAAGCATGTGAGGCCAATAAGAGATGTCCCTATTTTCGAAAGGTTTCCTGTGTTGATCAGTGTTGCAATCATATGGATCTATTCCCTTATTCTGACTGCCAGTGGGGCTTACCGTGACAAGCCAAATGATACTCAACATAATTGCCGTACTGACAGAGCAAATCTCATATCTTCTGCTCCATGGTATATCAAAACAACCAACTTCAGCTCCTCTTGACATGTATTTCTGTTTTCACTGCTTCTAACATTAATGTGTTATGATTCAGGTTCAAGTTCCCATATCCTCTTCAGTGGGGCCCTCCTACATTTTCAGCTGGTCATTCCTTTGCTATGATGTCTGCAGTTCTAGTGTCTATGGTTGAGGTACATCTTATTGATGTTACTTTCTTCTTAAAAGTTCAAACTAACAATTCTACCATGAACTTTCTTCTTAATGTTAACCTTTCATTCTATAGTCCACCGGCGCATACAAGGCAGCATCTCGATTGGCTATTGCAACTCCACCTCCAGCTTATGTATTAAGCCGTGGCATTGGCTGGCAGGTGGGCGGATTTGACAATACTATCACTCTCTATTTCTGTTTCTTTTCTGTTTTTAATGAGTACAGGCACAAGTACAAGTAGACAATACATATATGATCAACCAAACAAGCCCTTTTAGAAAGAAAACTGACTAACAAATAACCAACAAACCATCATATAATTGAAAAAAAATCTAAAATAATGCTATATTGATTGTTTCAAATTATGCTTCAGTGTAAAATACAAACGATTTGGGTCATCGTCAGCCATGAGCTTCATCCTTCTAGCTTGCATACACTATATATCAACAATACACAATTTTAACAATTTCAGCTGTCATTCTGTATGATTTATATTAACTTTAATAATTTGATATTTCAGTTGAGTACCCTTTTTTTTCGTGTATAACTTCATTCAAGTACATTGACGAGCTGGATGGTTTTCAAAATCATTTTGCAGGGGATTGGCATCTTGCTTGATGGTCTATTTGGAACATGCACTGGTTCTACTGTTTCTGTGTAAGATATACTTTTAGATCAGCTATCGCTGCATTCTGCTAGTGTTGTGTTTTTTCCCCATGTAATGCGCTTAAAAGAGATGTTGGTTATGTTTCAGGGAAAATGTGGGACTCCTTGGACTAAGCCGAGTTGGAAGTCGCAGAGTTGTTCAGTTATCTGCTGGCTTCATGATATTTTTCTCAACCTTAGGTATTCACACCTTACTTCAGAGTCCTGAGAGCAAAGAAAATGATGATTCTCTTAACCTGTGTCCGGGCATATGGCTTAGACTTAAACAAGAACCGCTTTTTAACACACATTTCTGGCAGTCAATTAAATTGATATTGTCTCAACAGGAACCCCACTTTGCTGTGTTGCATTTAATCTCCTTTTTCTCGTGGAACCCAGAAATCTATTTTATCAGCTTCAACAAATACTTTAACATAATCTTTCCCCTTTATGGTACTTCCAGGAAAATTTGGAGCTGTGTTTGCATCCATACCCTTCCCAATATTTGCTGCACTGTATTGTGTTCAATTTGGCCTTGTGGGTATGTACCACTTGTATCAAAGCTCTATTATCTGCTGTTTTCATGCTGTTTGAATCCTCAATGACAATTTCTTTGCTCGCTATGCAGCTTCAGTTGGATTATCATTTCTTCAATTCACAAACATGAACTGCATGAGAAACCTCATTATTACAGGGCTATCGCTCTTCCTTGGAATTTCCATCCCACAATTCTTTAATGAATACTGGAATCCAACACACCGGGGTCTTGTTCACACTAATGCAGGATGGGTAAGTAATGTTGCCAAACGTGTTAAAACTTGTAGGCCAAGGCATCATAATATCCCTACTAGTATTGACACTGGAGTCCTTGCTGCAGTTCAATGCATTTCTGAATACCATATTCTCATCTCCGGCAACAGTTGGCCTGATCATCGCCGTGTTTTTGGACAATACGCTAGAGGTGGAAAAATCGAAGAAAGACCGAGGGATGCCATGGTGGGTAAAGTTCAGAACATTTAGAGGAGACAACAGAAATGAGGAATTCTACACCTTGCCGTTCAATCTCAACAGGTTCTTCCCACCAACGTAGTAGAGAGTTCAACGTCAGGCAAAAATCAAGCTCATTTCCGGATTTTTATCAGTTTTTATAGATAATGTTCATGTGCGAAGAAAGATGATATTCGTATGAGAAACATTTTGCTAGATGGTATTCGTATCAGTCTTCACTGTGATTCCAATTCTTTTTGTGGGCCCGTTGTAAGGGGGAGGTCCAGGGTAGGGTTGTAGAGCATTCTATCTCTGCTTCTTGTAGATGGCAATAATAAAGAAAGGAAATCGGTTGATTTTGATTTCTCAACTCTTCCCTGTCCATGCTAATCCCTACTTCAATATTCTCTCCTTATTCCATCAAAGGAAGAGATGATCATTAAATGATTTATGCAATTACACAAAAACCATTCCCTTACTTAACATTTCCTATATTACATACTACTATGGAATTAAACAGTCATTGATCTACACAGAGAGATTTTGATTGAAAACACATTATGGCTTGCAATGTCTTTAAATTATTTAAAAATTTTTTAATAAATTAATTATTCACTAATTATTATTAGTCAAAATATTATTTTTAATTTAATATACTTTTTAAAAAATTATTTTTATACCCTTTTAAAAAATCTATGCTCAATTTTATCGTCATAAGATGAACATGTTACAATTTCGAAAGAATAGTGGCAAATTTGCAATTAGTACCTAATGCCAAATATTCAACAAATAAATTTTAAGTTAAAACGCGAACCGATTGTATGAAGCCTCAGACAGCCAGTCAAGTTGACATCAAAAATTAAAATTCAGTCGGTAATTCCAACTATTAAATGAGAAATCCTCATTGGCTTCAACAATTCATTAATCCTAAACAACACCCTAAACGAAATAATAAAAATCACTTCCAAGAAAAAAATGTAATCGCCGAAAACGGCTCCGTAGATCGTAAGGAATTAGATCTACAGGTTCCTATCAGCAAGCGAAACATGTGATTCCTTTCGGTCCAATCATAGCATCGCCGGTCACTGCTCTTTTTTCTTAGCTACCGGCGACGTGGCATCGGACCCAACGCTCCCAGTATTAAAAATTTTAAAAAGATTTTTTTTTTTTCCAAAAAATCAAAACCCTCAGAGACCCGTTCCAAATCAAACACACAGCGGAACACGCTTCTGTGGAAGGCCACCGTGGATTCCCGGCCAGTCATCAAGCACCTAAGAACATGAATCAGAGGGCTGGCGATTGGCGGATGGGAAGACGGGATCTTCCTCAGCGTGTTGCCGCTGCTGATTAAAGTGTCATACGGCACTTCCTATCTATGGGAATTCTTCCTCATTGGGATTTCGCTTTGCACTTTCTTTCCTCCTTTCAAAATAAACACCGAAAACCAGATGCTAATCTTTCCAAAAACAAAAAGGAAAACAGAAAGCCATTAGTTATATCACATGAACTAGGTTTGAGACGAAGACAACAACTTAGCAGGGAATTTATAGAGAGCACTGAAGCAAAACCCTAAATCTCTCGTTCGGATTTTGTTGGGGGAGGGAACCCTGACATTCAGGGCTTAAATTTGTTCAGTTGGGCTTCTTTACTGGACTGGTAATGGCGGAAAGGGGTACCGGGGCTTGTTATGAATAGGCCCAATGTGTTTGGGCGGGTTGATACGAACTTTATGAATAAATCATTTTTCAAAACATAAAAAAATAGTAAATAATTTAAATTCAAATCAGCCGCAGGTTTAAAAAATACTCAAGCATAGGCCGGACACATCTGGCACTAGTCGTCCGTTCCCGTCACCAACTTTGAATGTAATTTCAAATCGGCGACGACGAAGAAAAGAGAAAAGAGTGTTTTGACGTGAAATGTCGATGGGAAATGACACGACATGGGTTGGGAAGAAGCCATGGAGGCGCATCGGAGGAATGTCGGATGCTCTCTCCATTGCTGCCGATCTTGGTTTCTCTGTTCCCCCTCCTCCTTCTCAGGTTCCTTTTTTTTTTCTATCAATTCTATTTCCTTTCCTTCTCATACTTTGTTCTTTTGGATAGATTTTATTCACATTAATTATTGGATTTTTATGTTCAAACACTCCAATTATGCAATTTGAAACTCCCAAATTACACTACTTTCTGGGGCAGATTGAGTTCTTTTATTTTGGTCTTCTATGCTAAGCAATTGAATGATATAATATCATTTCTAGCTGCATTTTTTGTAATGAATTTGGCTTTTTGAAGTTTATACTCAAAATATTTAGCCCTTTTTTACCCTTTTTGATGGTCAATCCAGAGGAATTTAACCATCAAAAGCATATAGTTTCTTTGCGAAAATTGTAAATTTAGGATCCTGAACACTAGTTGAAGTCTGGGGTTTTCATTTTTTAACTATTTAAGATGTAGGGGTTTAGACAGTAAGCTCAATTGAAAGATCAATTATTCATAAAACTCTGGTAAACGTGAGGATAGATTTCTTGCCTTAGAACCTAATGTCTCGAGCATTGTCTTTCTAAAAGTATAGAATAAATAGTTTGTACATTGTCATCGGCTGAACCATTAGTGTGAAACTCTGTTTGATTAAATAGTTCTGAATTCATTCATTTACTTTTGTTTTTATTTATAAATCTTTTGATATGCACTTGCTGGTCTGTAGCCTATTTGGATTTAGTTACACATGTTGAATCTACAAGGTTACATTAGGGCTAGCTAATTTATGGGAGGATGCCTTGAAACTATGACAGAGTTAATGATGCTTTTTCTTCTGTAGGAAGAACTGCAAAACTTATCTGCTACTGGTGAAAAGGGTGATGACTTGATAAAGGTCTTGAGAGAGCTAACCACTGTACAGAGAAAAATAGCAGATCTGCAAGTGGAACTTCAAGGCCGAAAGGTGAAGCATCCCAGCTTAATTATCATTTCCACATCATTTTTTTGCTGCATGTAAGGGTTACTATTGAGCACCTTTGGGTAGTTTTAAGGGTATGCAACTGATGTTTTGCATCCAGTTTGGACCTTTTAAAAGGGTTCAGTTTGTTATTGAAAAATAAATTAAGAGTGGTTCTTTCAGTTTTTCTCATTGAAAATATTGAACACACACATAGACACACAAGGAAGCTTAATATGTTTATTTAGTCTTATTATTTATAGTTTTTGGTTTATACATTGAGAAATATTTTATATAAAACATAAAATTTGATTTGTTAACTTACAGTTGCTGACTTAAGCACACCCTAGGTTCTTTAACTGACCTGTTTTATGGCATTTTTAGGATGATAAAAATGTTGCTCATCTGACGCATGTGAGTGAAATGGAAAAGAAGTGTGAGACACTGGCGAGGATTACTACCATATTGAAAGATGTTATTCAGAATAAGGTAATTTCAGGTTCTCTTATTGTGTACTGTAGCTTCTTAATGTTGGGCATGCCAAATGATAGTGATTTTTGCTGATTTTTGTATATATCCACTCATATGCACAAATAATGCTACTTACATTAAATACCTCATGTTGCAAATTTCTCAGCACCACTACTTTTGCAACAATTCCTCTCTATCTCTTCACTCTGTTGATGGGGTTAGGAAGATGGGTGAGGTTTTACTTGTACTCCTATTCTGGTTTGGTGTTAAAAATCTCCCTTGATTCAACCAAATTTAACCATGAAAATTCATATTCAAGATGCTGCTATGAACAATACTAGGAGCATGTCATTTACTGGGGATCCTGAAAGGTTCTTGTATTAATATACTGTGTCTGGAATTGAGATCATAATTAGCTTATTTGTATTGTTACTGTCTGAGGATTACATCATTGGCTTATTTTTTATGTCCTGAGAAATTTGTTTAGGAAGAAGAAATTTTTCCATGCCCAAGATGGCTACTTCAAGAAGCTATTGTTTTTATCCTGACACGTTATATTCTTATTATTCAGATCACACAACCAAAGTGACTCCATTTATTTAACTTTCTATTTTTCTCTGTTCATTATTTTGGCAGGATCGTATTATAGCTCGTCTACAGCAACCATATTCCCTAGATTGCATTCCAGTGGAAGCAGAATATCAGGTTTGTCATTCGGAGATTTGCTTTAACATAAGAACAGTAAAATTTGAAGACCTAGTAATGTTGGTTTTTTTCTTCCTTGGTTTGATTGTTTACATGGAGAACTTCTTTGTGTACCATTTAGTGGTACCAGGAATTCAGTTTGCTATGTTTCTCGTGCAAGTTTGGTGATGACCCATGGCAGTATGATCACCTGGAAAAACTTTGATTTCATGGTCTACCAAGCATGTGGACTGAGAGTAGTTGTAGGTTATAGAACATATTTACCGGAGATGGTTGCATTATCATTAGATGTTGGGAACGCTTCTGTTTTTTCCCCCTTCTCTTTCTCTTTTTTCTCCCTTAAGCTCTTGCACAATTTGTATTTATCTTCTTTGCTACCTAGAATTTGTGAGCCAATGAATTCCACATTCAATTTAAAATGGGATTCAAATTTTCAGATTTTCTGCAATTTTACTGACAAATATAATCATTCAAAAGATGATTATCTGGCCCATGAGGCTCCATGATGTTAGATCCTATAAATATGAACTATTATGTGAACTTTTATTCATTTCTGATGGAAAATCAGCCGAGAGGTGGATTAACTGGCATAATGTTCAGTTCTTCTTTCGGATTTCTGCACTGATTTTGATATTGTCCATCTGCAGAAGAACCTTGTATTATCAGGATGGAATATAACAAAATGTATAGTATTATAGTTTGCTGTAAGATAACAAGTCAAAATGGAAGATTGAAAAAATCAAATAATTAAATGCAATTTTTTTAAAGAATGAAATTCAAAATTGTTTTGAATGTGAAATTGTAATTCTTAAATACTCTTCCCCAAAAATATTTAAACTGAAAGCAATTAAATATTTATGCTTGAACCTTGAAGGGCAGGTTGTTTTGTTAGTTCCATTCATTTGGGAAAAACAGAAAGATTTTACTTCATTGCTAATGGCAATTTTATTGGATTTCTCCAGAAACAATTTTCTGAACTACTGATGAAGGCTGCAAGTGATTATGGTGCATTGACAGCATCTGTTACTGATTTCCAGTGGAGCCAGAACTTTAAGGAGTCTCCTGCAGTTTGGGGGGTAGGCCTAAAGCCATATTGTGATATATTTTTGTATTATGTCCAAGGAGTGTGACATCCAGCATCTTTTTCTCTCTAATTAGATATGCTGCTCATTCTTAATTTTCTTTTCCTCACACAGGAGATGCTCCGTCCAATTCCCGTTGCTTTAGCATCTTGTACTCGATTCTTTGAGGCCATGTCTGCAATGAGAGAATCATTTGCAACACTTCAAAATTTGAGAGTGGGGCATTCTGCTTCCTCTTTGCCAACTACACCAGCCAAGGATCCCTCCCAAAGAGTGCTAGGAGAGTCAGACTGCATGACTCCATCCCCTTGGAAAAACGAATCAAGTTTTGATGACTTAGCTATCAAAAGTCTTAGAAGCCAAGAGCTTGAGCAGCAAGAAGTAGAGGATGGAAACAGTGAAGTGGGTGACTTTCATCAGGTTGATGGCTCAAGCCACAGGAGATTGTCTTGGCCTCCCTCCGTTAAAAAGAATGGTCTTTAATTCTTTCGGCTATGTATTGCTATGCTTTAGTTTGCATACTCCTATAGTAATATTTTCTATGCCTTGGAACCCTTCAGCATCTTCATAGTTCATAGTAGTATTGTTTGCTTGAAAATATGCGCCTAAAAAAAAAAACGGAAATACAGAAAGTGAGCAGTGCATATTCTACATTTTTTTTTTGTTCTTAACATATTATGCATTCGTTTAATACGCTGATTGTGCTGCGGCAGTTTGAAATGAATACTGTATGAAAAGTGAAATGTTGGTAGGGATTTCCTTATTTTATCAACACAGTTTTTATTTTTTTACTTTCCTTATCAAGGAGTTCAATTCTTCATTCTTAACCGGGAAATACTATAACTATGTTTTAATAATTAAGTCAGTCTACCCTTAACAATTAGGTAAAATATTTTCATAGTTTTAAGTTTTAATAGAAATTTCAAACCGATTCATTAGTTTTTGAAATAGATATTTTGTTCAAAAAATGTAAACACCGTTAATAAAAATTAAAAAAAAAATTGATCAATGCTCTTTTATTTTTATTTTTTTAAAAATTAATAAAAATATATAATAAAATTTTTAAAAATTAATAAAGAGTAAAATTATTATTTAAATATTACTATATCATCAAATTAATAAAAAAATTAAGAGTTTATTAACAATTGAATTTATGTGTTTAATAAAAAATATTTTTTTTAAACAATGTTTATTTTGAAAATTAATGAATTCGTTTAAAATTTTGATTTAAATTTAAGAGAATTGAGGTATTTTATTTTAACAATATCATTTTTATCCGTTTGAATGGTTTTGGGTTAATTGAGTTTAAATGTGATAAAAGCTTGAAGTTCATATATTTTTGCTTTATCTAGTAGGCCCTAAACATTACTTTGTTTCTTTAGCAGCAAAGAGAGAGTCCAAATCAAGAGAAACTATTGAATAAAAGAGTAAGGGGTCAAGTAAATTTTCATATTTAAACTATTGAACTATGCTTTTAAGCCTAAAAATTCCTTTTCAAATCACCAAAGAAGGTGGGCACGATGGAATGAATCGGAGACAAAGCCCAAACGAGATCTTCATTGTGCCGCACGTCCTATGCTTGTTTCTGATATAGTGAATCTCTAGGGTCAATCATTTCTTTCCACCGTTAAGACCCGATTTTCAGGAAAAGGATCAATTTCAGGAAGTTAGTGACATGTAAACACCGATTGCCCGTTGGATTTTGTGATTCTCAACTCCGAATGACAAAGAAAGACAAATTGCTATCTTCACCGCAAAAGAAGAATAAGGACAAACAAGTTAGTTTTGATCAATATAAAATATTAAGGATTGCTTATAAAGCAGTGGAACTGATGTTGACTGATGCAAATATGCGTTCCCTCTTTACTGTCGGCACCCACTCATTGCGTCCTCGGATAAAGTTTGAAACACTGGTTGTACTTATTAATTGTTAATTGATGAACTATTTAATATGAAATTACTATTATTAATATTTTAATTTAATCTTATAAATGGTCTAGTTCCTAGCAAAACCCTTAAAAAGGCAAAAGAGAAAAAAATAAGAGTAAATACTTATTTAATTTATTTATTTCTTTAAAGTAAAAATTGGTTCAAATTATTTTGATTAATTACTATTTTGTGAGAAACTCTTAAATTTTTTTTAAAAAAAATCTTTAAAAAAAATAAAAAAATTCCAAATAAAAACTTTTTCTTAAAAATACTCATCAATTTTTTTAAAAAAATATTTTTTTCTAAAAAAGTCTTCTCTCAAAAATTACCCCTTCCTTCCCTTCCCTTCTTATCCATCTCCCTCTCCTCTTTTCCTTTATGCATCTCCGTCTCTTTTCCTCTTTTTTGCAAATCATTTTTTTAGAATTTATTTTCTTATAAAAATTAAAAAAAAAAGATTAAAAATTTAAAATTGTATTCAAGTATTTTTTTTGTTTTATTTCTTATTTTATTTTTATTATTTTTTTAAAAAAATATATTGTTTGATATTTTTCAATTTATTGTTTGATATAACAATTATGTTATATTTATTTATTCTTAACTTCTTTCTAGTATATATAATATTTATTGATTATAATTGAAATAATTAGTCAAATAAGTCAATGGTCATTGAGATAAATTATATAAAAATTAAAAAATTAATATTTGTACTCATTCCTTCTAACCCAATTTTGAAGAATTTTTTTTAAATATAACAATAGGCACACTACAAGAAAATTGAAATAAATTTTAATTCCTTTGTCAATAGGAATTGCAGAATCCTTGAACTTCTTAGCAGTGAATTTCACATTTGAGCTAACAATAGCCAACAAATAATGTGGCGCTCTTTCACAAAATAAATAAGTCATTAAGAAAATCAACAAAATTTGTCCAAAAAAAATAAAAAAAATAAAAGCCAAAACCTTTTTGTTCATGGTGAGGACATTAAAACCTTAATAGTATTGCATGGAATCAACGTTAATAATTTCAGGAGAAAAATGGGTTGCCAAACCAATGACTAAATATGATTTTCTTAACCTCGTTAGACCCATTATTAATATCACCTTAGGCTTTTCTTCTTCCGTTTTGGGTTCTATTTCTTGTATGTAACATTAGTTTTGTCCAACTTCAAAAGTCATAAATTTCAAGCTAATTTTTAAAAAATAACAACAAATATTTTTATATTCTTCTTTTATCCTACAAGAATTCATAATATTATAGAGAAAATTATATTTGATTCATTTTTTTCTTGATTTATTAAATACCTTTTATGGTAATTTTAATTAAAATTAAAATTTATATAAATTGTTTTGCTAAGCAGCTTATCTATAAAAAAAGAACTTATAAAAAGTAAATTTATCAAGTAATTTAACTTAATTTTAAAAATTATTATTTTTCATAATAGCTTTAAAATAGCTTTTAAATTAAAAAAAATAAGCCAAATATACTCTAAATACAAAAGCCTATTTTGCCCTTGTAATATGCTATAAAAGTGATCATCTAAAGGGAAGGGTTTAATTGTAACTTTGCCGAGTCCTAAAAGCAGCAAATGGACCCTTCCCGAATGCATGATTATGAAATAGTTTCCCATATGCATTCTATTATGCATTTAACATGTCCGTGTCAAATTAAATTAATGATATCAACAAGTAAGGTATTGTTAATTTTAAAATACTTGAACCCAAACTTGTTTAATGAATGAGGTATCTAAACTCTACAAATATTTGACTTTTTTAAAACTTGCTATGCTAACCCGAACCCTAATATATATTCACTATCCGATAATTATTTAAATTCGTTTAAAAACTTAATTATATAAAAAATTATTAAAATACCCTTCAAGGGTATCTAATTACTTGAACTCAAATCCGTACTAGTATCCATATATAATAATATTTTTCATTTATATTCTATATAATTAACTAACAATTAAATTTATAAAAGTAGACAAACAATAAAATTTAAATTTAAATAATCAAAAACAATATCTCAAATATCAATTTAAATAACTAAAAACAACAACCTAGATAATAGTACAAGTTTACAAGAAGACAACAATATTACAAGTTTAATTAAATATATGAGTTTGTCCTTAATTACATGAAATTAAAAAAAAATAGCTAGGCTCTAAAACTATTATAATCTCACAAATATATATTATAAGTTTATATAAATAAAGGTATATATTATAATTAATAATTTTATAAATTATAATTTTTGTAATATTAACATAAAATAGAAAGTAAATATGTTTATATTTAAACTAAATATACTAAAGTACATATATAATAGTAATTATATTCCTTATAAATTAACACAATATATAAAATATTTATTAAAATACATTGCAAGTTAATTAATAATCATAGTTTCATGAATTAATTTAGTTAACAATATGAGTTTGTTCTTAATTACATGAAATTAAAAAAAAACAAAGTTCTAAAGCTGTTCTAATTTCGCAACTTATCTTTAGGTGTATATATCATAAGTTTATATAATCAAAGGTATATATATTATAATTAATAATTTTATAAGTTATAATTTTTGTAATGTTAACATAAAATAAAAAGTAAATATGTATATATTTAAAGTATATATACTAATATATAATAGTAATTATATTCTTTATAAATTAACACAATATATAAAGTATATTTATTATAAGATATTATAAGTTAATTAATAATCATAGTTTCATAAATTAATTTATTTAACAATATGGGTTTATTTTTATTGCATGAAATAAAAAATATATAATCGAGTTCAAGTACCAAGTAGATAAGGGAGGGTACAAGGGTAATGAAATTATTACTCGAATCCTATATAATCAAGTTAGATACCCACAACTACCCTATAATAGAATATCCATTACCATCCTTAATCATCAAATTTTTAAAATGAGATAACAAAATTCGTTGCATTAATTGGAAACTCAAGTCAAACTTTTAGTGAAGTCTCCGGACTCATTTTTAAGCTCTATGTATGCTTGTTAACAATGATAGTCATAGATTCCATTTGCAATTATTTTCGTATTTCTGTTTAATTTGACTACTATCATTAAATATTGTAGACGTCCAAACTTACTATTAATAATAAATAATTTTATTGAATTTTTATTTTTTTTAAAAAAATTTTTGGGACCCAGCTATCAAACCGTTTATGTATGTTTAAGAAGAAAAATGAGCTATTGGGTCGTATTTGACATTCAATCGTCCAACATGTTCGGGTTTTGTTTTTTTAATTGCTGTATTTTGAGCCAATAAAAAGAAAGGTGGCATAAGGTTACCAAAATTAGTAGTTAGTACTACATTTTTCAAAAGCTAAAAATTAATGTCTTAATTTCTTCTTCTACAGTTTTGTGTAAATTTTGTACGAATGTGATTGTTGATTTGAATTGCTATTAAATTTTAAATTTTTAATTATTATAAAAAATTAATATTCATTATGTGTAAAACATGCATCAATAGCATAACAGTGTCACATTAACATCACATCTTCACTTAAATTTATATCTAAATTCGATCAATATCGCGTCAATATAATCATTGTATCATTTTTAAATACCATATCATTAAATTTAATGTCACATTAGTAGAAATATATCATATCAGTATAATTAAATAGCATGTCAATATAGATGACTTAAAATTTTTAATAATCGTTAATAATTGAATGGATATTGTCAATTTTAAAATGCATAAAGACTCAATTTTTTATAAATTATTATATAGAGATTAAATTCATCATTTTGACAAAATACAATAACTAATAGCATAATTTAACTTTTATTTTATAAAAAAACCAAAAAAAAAGTGAAATCAAAATAGAAGAAAAATACAAACTAATATAGCAAATTCAACAACCAAACTTAACCTAATGAAATAATGATTTTATTTGATTACTTAAATTTTGATCATTTCATCATTACTATAATATAAAAGCACAATATGGGCAATTAGCTGGTTAATTAAAAAGGAAAATAATAACATTAAATTTCTCTTGTTTTCACCATGACCGCTTGGTAAAATTGTAGAAGATTCCATCTTATCTTCGAGCTTTCTTTTCGAATAACATCTTCCTCCCAACATAGCATTAATGTGGAAGATATTTTCAATCAACTTATTGTCTTGAAGAAGATAACAGACCCAAAACCAACCTTTGATTGTTTACCAAGGTGCTTCCACCTTCTTAGAAACAAGAAATGAGGGAATTTTTTGCCTTTTAAGAAAGACACTGAAAAGCCTTTGAAATCAGAAAGCGATTATCTGATTAAGATGTGACATATTTACTTTATTCTAAAAAAATTGAATAAAAACATCTTATCTTATAACAAAATAGTAACATTAACATACTAAATGTAATGTACCCCCTAAAAAATTATAGTAATATACGATTGAAAGAGGCAGAGTGGACCCCGTCTGCCAAAAGTATGTCTATCATTTTACTCATAATAATATAGATATGATTCTCTCATTATGGGAGGAGAGTAGGAAGCTCCCTTAATTACGAAAAGGAGAAAATTCTTCGAGAGAGATATTAAAGGCAGCTGTCTCAATAATCACCTTATGAAACAGACTTGGGCACTTTACTTTAAAATTTTATATTCCACCTCTAAATTTGAAATGTAATTATCAAAATATCAAAAAACATGTTAAAATGTTATATGTATGTGCATGTTATTATTAATAAAAATTTTAAAAGAGAAAAGGTGAATTAAAGAATATGTTTAAAAAAATGGCCCACCCCTTGAAAGATAACATGCTTTGCCTCTATTTGAGATCTGCAAGTGCCAATTATTTGTGCCCAATCAGTGAAGCTCACATTCCCTACACGATCAATGTCTAAATTCCAGAATCCAAATTATAAAAGTATTCCTCAAAAGTACCAACAAAATTACCTTTGTTGTAGAGCATTATCAATATATTTTATTACATGCAAAATAAATTTGTTATCAAATCTTCCAACTTGTCAATAGTTTAATAACTTTTCAATAGTTTAAGATTTCAAAATATGTTGCTTTTTTTTTTTTTGCAATTAACATAACATATTTATTAGACTAACGTGTATCTTTATATGCATCACAACTATAAATAAAAGATGAAAAATAATTATAGTGCTATTATTAGTATAAGATAATTGATGGAAAACGATGTTGGCACCTGTTGTATCATCACTCACCCGGAACATCTCCATCGTGCCAGGTATAACGGGACCCCGCATAAGTAAACAGATGAAAGATATAGCAAAGCAGGATCCAAACTCAGGTGCACGGATGATGCATGTTGCACGGCTACTGCATGATTATCTGCATCTGCATGCCCCCAACTACCCACCAGCTCATGATGATGTCACCTCACCATGCGCAATATCCATGCCCATCCATCAATAATTCTATTACCCTATAATCCGTCCTACCTATTATTTTACATCCCTGACTCTCTCTGACCTACCCCGACCAGAAACTACAAGCAACGGCTGCCTGGGCCCTACCACAAAACCTCTGATTGTTCTGATTCTTCATCCAGATGCGTCCAAAAATATCTGGGGGTACCTGAAGCCTATAATATTGGTTCCCGATTGAGGTGGGGCGAGGTTCCAAAGCCTCCGTTGAGCTTAAAGTAGCTGCGCTTTACGCATTTTGGAGAATGCCAGGGGCAACCGGCCCGACAACTGCCCTGTGACACTCGGCATCTTACGAAACTGTTCTGCAACCCAAAACCGGTTACCTGTTTATACACCTTGTAAAATAACATTCCTTTTATGCCACGAGAAAATTTATTAATATTTCCATGGTTGCTTTTCTTTATTTAATTTAGTAACTTATTTCTTTTGAAGTATAATTTAGCTACCATTCTTTGATTTTTCTTTTCCCAAGTTTAGACGTAGGTGGATTGTGCTTAATTTCTTAGTTTTCCATTGATATTCAAAAATTAGATTGAACGAAAACATTACCACTTTATATATTATTGGTAGAATTTTTAAATTTTATAAGAAATATTAAAATATTATCACATTTTTTTTATTTATCATATTAAATTATTAGTTTTATTAAAACCCCACCATGATATTTAAAAAATAATTTTTAAATAAAAGAAGGACATTTTAGTTTTTATTAAACAGTTGAGATGAAGCCAACTAAAGTTAAAACTCCACATTAAAAAAAACTTTTACTACCTATAAAGTTGATACTCGAAACACCTATTAAGCAGGTAACCGGTGTTGAGTTGCGAAAACTGGATAAGGTTGCTACATAAAATCTCGAGTGTTGAAGCGCGTTTGTTGGGAGGACTGCCCTTATCGGCCTTTTCCATCCAAGGTGGGGAGCCAATTCTGATCTAACGTGGAACCGTTTCTGAAAACTGGAAGCCGTTTAAACTTAAAACTAAATGCAGCCTTTCTTGTGTAGGGGGCGTGAAGTCAGAGCATGGTCATCTCCATTTTAGGTAACATGTGTCGCCCCACTTGATTATTCATATTTTTATATTTTTTAAAAATTTAAAATATAAAATTTAAACTTAAATTATATATTAATCAATAAATTAAAAATTTAAATATATATTTATTTACTTTTATACGCATCAAAACACTTCAAATTATAATCTATCAAATACAATTTTTCTTTTAAAAAATGTTACTATTTGCCCCCAAATAGGTTGTGCACGCATAATTTGTTTGATAATTATTTAACAAGTCATCTGAAACAAAGTACGAGGGTAAATAAATGTATATAGTAGACAAAGTTGTAATTACAAATGGGCAAATGGTTTCAAAATGAATTAAAATGTTCAATTTGAGATAAAGAAATTAAGCACGCACTGCAATTTGCCACCATTTAATTCCAATCCATTAATACGCTTCTAATTAAACAAAGTCAACTCCAAGCTGTCCAATAGGATAAGGATTGTAAAACTACTTTCAAAATGTAGGGTCCAATGGGGTAGAAAATTATTCTTTAAAAAAAAAAACTCTTGAATGTGAAACTCAGTCAACTTTTACTACACGTTGATAACAAGTTGATGAACACTTTGCATAAAATTATAATGGGTCTCTGGTCTTTATAAGACCACTATATACAAAAACTTTTATTATTGATGTGTCTGTATTTGTCAAATGCATATCAAAATTCTGAGTTTGATAAAAAAAATTAAAATCTTATAACGATTATTAGAATTTACATATTATTACTTTGTTTCATATTCATTCATCAAACTTTCTATTATTACGTAGTTTCATATTCATGTATCAAACTTTCTAAAATTAAACTTGAGCGCTTGCAATCTAATTAATTTCCCAAGAGACAAATAAACAATGATTGAATTTATTGTAGAGGCAGCAATTAAACCAGAGAAGAGGCTTAACAGTAACTAACCAACACATGCATTTAAGGCCAAAGCGTGTAATAGGACCACCATAATTGACAATGGTGGCATTCACGCTTTAACCTAGCAGCCTAGCCTAGCATATTCTTTAGGCACCTAATTAATGTGCCTTTTTTTGCCCTTTCTGTCTGGCTTTGGTGAAATATAGGCCCACACGAGTCCCAACAAAAGGCAAATTTCAAATGTCACACTCGCTTTTAACCTGTTCCCCATTAATTTAACTTTAATGCCTTATTTATTTCACCACCTTTGGGATTTTACTCTAAATCCTAAATAGCTGGTGTTTGCTCTTAACCAATTTCATTTTTCTTCCTAGTTAAGGATGACGTTGGGAGTAGTTAGTGGTCTAATAATAATCATTATAATTCTATTTAATATAAATTGAGAGTTAATGCTGATTCAATCTCCACTTAACAATAATACCAATTTTTTATTTAAAAAAGAAAACAATGATACCTTTCAACGCAGGTTCAAATTTGTAAGATCATTAAACTTTTTCCATTGCCTCTTTAATTAATTAACAAGACACTAAAAAATAGTACGAATGTTTAAATATTAATTTTTTTTTTTATAATTTGCATTATTTACCCTTATTCTTTAAAAGAAAATTTGAACCATTGACCACTTTCCTCAATTAATATTTGTGCTTATTAATTAATAATTACGAAGAGAAAGTAGCAAAAATACTGTGATATGAATACCCCACACGATCCCACACGATAAAGATATAAGACGCAAATAAAATAGGATAGATGCAGCCGTAGCACATCATAGATTTAATCCCCCACAATGCATTATCGCGCATGTCTCGGTTATTTCCCGGATTTCTTGCCTTTCTATACCCAAAAAAAAAAGAAGGAAAATCCTGTCTTCCTCTGGAAATTTAGATACTTCATCACCTCCTGTCTCTCTTCTCTCTTTCTCTCTGGCAAAGACAACGACAGAGGAAACGATCTCCTGGCGCGGGAAGCACCAGATCTCCAGAAATTCCTTTCCCAAATTTCCCATTATACCCTTCCCCTTCCAAGTCCTCCCTCCCTACATCAACGAATACTAACTCGTCTTTTTATGGTTCTGTTTCTGTCTTTCGAATTAAACGACGTCTTTTTTGAATCCTCAGACGTGTCCTTAACGTGTCGAATCTTGACTTCCTTCGTCACGCCTTCCAAGCCAAGCAACTCCCTCCCTTCCCCTGCCCCCAACCAATTTCTTTCCTTGATTTATACTAAAATATTCAAAAAAAAAAAAATCTGCTGGTTTTCTTTTTTGGCCTTTATATCTGATTCTTTTGCTATCATTTTCTCTGACATTGTTGTTGAAGTTAGTTTCGATGTGCGTGTCGCTTCTTCTCCTCTCTTTTTTCCGCCCTTGATTTTTTTTTTCTGTTTTCTCTGCTTGGTTACGCTTTTTTGCCCCTGTTTTGTTATGAAGTGCAAGAGTGGTCGTTTCCTTCCTTTCCTCTCCCTTTCTTCTCTTCCATTTTCATGGAATTCCTTTCATCAAGGTCCGTTTTCCTCTCTCTCTCTGAATATTTAAAACAATAATGTAGCTTGTTTTGGGTATTAATGAGAATTTACTTCTTTTTCCTCTTTGCTAATTGTTAAGCAGTGATTTGCTGTGATTTGAAATTAAAACAGGGTTTAGAGCATAATTTTGATGGGGAAACACGATGATGGATGCTCTGTTTTTCCTTTAACCGGCCTCCAAATCGGGTAATTAATCAACCTTGTCTTTTTTAGAAAAAAGAAATTCCTTTTATTATTTATGTAACTTGAATTTCATTAAATTAAAAATTTGGCTTCAATTACTAGTTTATACATTCTACATACATTGTCATTTTCTTCGATTGCCTATTACTTTTTCTGATGAGATTAAATGATTTTTTTTATTTTGTAATTTTGTTGTTTATAAGGACAAGAAATAATAAAAGGATGGAATTCTATTGGCTTTGTTAACGTTATTTAGATGGAAATCTTACAAACTGAGTCAACAAATAGTTGTGACTTTATTGATTCGCGTTATTCGTTTTGGTTATTGTTAGCTTTCGGATGAATTTAGTAATTAGCAAATAATTAGGGAAGGTTGACGGCAATTATATGTTCAAGTTTTCCTTTTCATATGTATGTATGTATTATTTAGTTTCCTGACTATGATCTGAAAATGGATTTATGCAATTTTATTGAGTTTTCTGACCATATGATATGTCCATTAATTTATATGTCAGAGTTTTTGCCTTTCTAATGTCATATGATTCTTTATTGGGTAATGTATGTTTGCAGAGACTTGCAGTCATATCTTTCTGATCTTAGCCTTTTCCTGGCCCTTGAGAGTAACCAATTCTACATTTTGGTGGACAACCAGCCATGGCTCAGGGACTTAGGTTCACGGTCAGCTCACTTATGGCAATTTATGGTTACCAAGGTTGTTGAAAATATTGTTTTTTTTTATTTATCAATATGGAGAGGATTATAATTGAATTTAAGTCATTCTTTATCTATTAACAGTCCAGGTTATCTCCTTTTGCTAACACCAAAGGTCGTAGGGAGAGAAAGGAGGGAAAGGGAACTTCTTCCAAATCAAATGCGAAAGATTCCAAGAAATTTAAGAGATGGTTCTCTTTGATTGATGCTGCAACATTGTCTAAAAAGAGGGTTTTGCTACCTGTTAAGAAACTGAGAACCTCCTTGCTTCTTAGCAGTGAGCTGCATAGGACGTTGTATGGCTTCATTGTATTTGAAGTCACATGGTCCAATGTTCGAGGTCTTAACTACTTGAATGAGCTTCAGGTATTTTCCGTTGTATGTGCTTTATATTTTTCTTGTACTTCACCATCAAGGTCATTTTGTTCAAGTGCTTTTCATCTCATTTGCAGACTGATACATCTCTGGCCATAGAGGCTAAATTCATGCGAAGATGGGAATTTGACAGCATCGATCAAGCAGCAAGATCTATGTCTTCATGGTTCTCTGGAACATTCTCAGAGCAGTGTCGGTTGAAAGAGTATTTGGATTCAGCACTTGGTACTTCTTGCCTCCATATATGAAGACATTAGTAGAAAAGATGTATTTATGATCCTTGACTTGCACCGGATTACATTTCCTCAGCATTTATATCTTTTTGGACACTAAAAAAAAGAAGAAACTGTTGTAAGTTAATAAATTTTAAACTGGAGATGCATGCTTGCAAGAACCTTATAGTGTTATTAGAGGAAGGTATATTTGGTTGCTTTATGAGTCTCACTAGGCGTAGTACAATTGATGGAGGGCCTAATCAACCTTTAAAAGTTTATAAATGACTGAATCTCTTCAAACTTATAATAATTAAAACCAGTTGAATGTGTATCTTGATAATTTTTTGCCTAGGTATTTAGTTGATCAAAGTCAAGTCAAACTTTAGAATTTCAGTAATAGTAGCTCATAAATTCTCTACTTTGCTCTACTGCACATGCTATTCCCTAACAAAGTAAAGGAGAGTTGTTTCCTCTCATCAATTCTTATCAGCTTCCCTCTCATTTACTCTACCCTCTGTTCCCTTTGAACTCACAAAGACATTGTCAACAATGGGGAATTCTAGCTGTTATGAGTTATAGGAGGTGTGAACCTAGCACTTCCTTTGTTGTCAACAACCTAGAGTAACCTCCTTGAACTCCTTTATGTAAGATTGTAGTCTTTCACTTGTACATTATTTTGAGAAGGATAACTTAGATATACTGCTCAAAGAGTGTGGTGAGCGGCCAGACATTACCCTAAGATAAGCAATGTGACTTTCTTTAGCCTGTTAGGTTCTGTTTTCTTCTTAAAATATGTATTCCGAAGTTTGCCAGTTTTTGAATCCTTTATTATGCTATTACCCTGTATCGACAACTCTTTATAACTTTATGTATAAATGCTGTAGTAAAGTACTTCATGAGTTGGCATTTACATATTGTAAGTTATGACTGTTGGAATTTTAGTTTTCTGTCTGGTTGCTTTTTCCTAAAACTTGGCCTCTGATATTTACTGGTCTTGGTTTGTCAGAGCTTTATTCCTCCAGCAAAGCTTCAGAGAACATGTAGTCTCTGAAAACTTAACAGGCATTAAACATGTGTTTCCAGTTGCCTGCTTTGCTGGTAACTTGTTTGCCTAGAACAGAGTGCTGGAAAGGGATGCAGATACCTGAAATGGAGTTATATGTAAATGTGTTTCCAGTGTCATGCTCCTCTTATGACAGCTAGCTTTGTCAAACCTGCAAATCCTCCTCATAACTTTTGAAGGAAATTAAATAGAAATCTGCAGTTGTTTTAGATATGACCTTAAGCCTGTCAGTCCTAAGCAGTGTTGTAGGAAAGACTTCTTTGATATTATGACCTGTATGTCAGCTTTTCATCTGCATATGTGTATGGTTGACTACAAATATTTTGAATGCTATTCCTATAGTTGTCTTATACAGTATGTGCTAACTCTGTTCCTTATAAATCAGGTTTATTATATTTATTATTTCTTGCTTAGTTGCAATTGAGGTGTCGTGCCCTCTAAGTCTCCGAACATGCTGAAAACAGAGCACAATTAACTTCAATCTGAATTCAAGCAGCAGCTTCCTTTATGCCTTTGCATGACATAGCAAATATTTTTTGTAGGTGACGTTACCATTACATCCGTTCACTATGATAGGTACAAAAGTTGTTTGGAAAATGGGTCAAATAATTAGTGGATGCATTCAGTTGGTTCTGTGTATTAGTCTATGTAATCTACCATAATTTATATTTCAGCTCTGGGCACATCCCTTTTTCTGTTTCTTTAATAGCATAGCATTTCACTTAGAAGAAAATTTGGAATCTGAACTCAGATCCAGTGCATGCGGGTTTTGCTGTTTACCACCTGATAGACTTGAAAGCCTGATGCTACGTTGTGTTTGTTGTTCTCAAATCAATGAAATGAATTTGCCGTGCTAATACAGTATTTAATCTGGATTTTTTTTTAGGAGAGGTCTTCTATGATGCTGAGGAAGATTTTCCAAGGCCGATCACTCTTGATGATGATGATGATGAAAATATTCATGATGATAGTTTCAGCATCGAGGATAATTTCCCCCATGATAATTTTCGGGTATCCCCTGCAACCATGGACTGTGAAACTTTTGAGCCACATACTCCTCCTCCTACTGGGCCTTATAAGAGAAGGAAAGTAACCAAGGCAATTAGTACGGGAGTTGAAGTTGATGTCTATTGTGAGGAAACCCAAAGGCCAGCTGAAAACTCATTAGACAACTCTAATGAAAATGCAGTCGAAGCAACAGAGTATAGGGATGTTCTAATTTTGTTTAGATTTGATGATAGAGATCTCCCATTTAAATTGCAGCAGATAATAACACCTAATCTGAGGTTACTTCGTTTATTAGAGGCTGGTCTTCCATCTTGGGTCATCTTCCTTCAATCATATCCTGGCTTTTGCCATATCTATCGCCCATGGATGTGCCCTCTGGCCAGAGCTCTATATGTTTTGATTTCAATCGTTACTGTTCTAATAGGATTTTATGATTTATACAAAAATGTCCCTGTTCTTAAGGCGACTGCTTCTCGTTTATGTGGGCCACTTTTCGATTGGATAGAAACCTGGGAGATGGTATCGAGGATTAAGTACTTGGGAACCATGTTATTTCTGCATAACTTTCAGAAGGCTGTGAAGTGGTTTTTGACGGTTACACGTGCTACTCGGTCATGTTTCTCATTTCTCAATCTACCACTGGCAGAACCATTTATGGAATTTTTGGGCTTCCTTTTGCCAATTTGGAATTTGTTCAGTGAAGTGGTAGAAAGCTTATTTTCGGTCATATGGATTGTGATTGGTAGTTTCTACAATCTAGTGGAAGCTCTCATAGAGGTTGTGCTGATGCCTATATGGTTTATAGGCTTAGTTCTCTGGAACATTGGTAGGTCATTGGATGATTCTTAAGCTATTTCCTAATTTAAAGCATAGAATCAATATATTAATTTGTTTCTTCTTATGTCATGCTACTGCAGCAACTTCCATCCTGTATCCTATATTTTGGATTCTTTGGGAAATACTATATGCCCCGATACGCCTGGTCCTTGCATTAGCCAGTTTTATGGCTTCTGTGTGTGGCTTCATTTCTGATTTGGTTGGGGATATATGGCGCTCTTTAAGTACCGTAATTCGGCTTGCTTCAGCTTCTGAGGCAACAGTGAGCACGTATGAAGTTTCCATATGGCGTTCACTTTGGAATGACCTTTTTTCCCAGGTTAGAAGACATTCCTATACCCCGATAAATATGTCCTTTAATTTTTTTTTCTTATTTTTTTTCTATGAACTTTTCAGGTTTTTCGTGCTGTCAGAAGTATATTAAATGGTTTTGTTGCCTTCTTCACAGCCTGCAACAGACATCGCCTAAGGTGTCATATTTTAACTTATCCTGTCCTTTTTTATGTCATTTTTTTTGTCCTGTCTAATAGCTTTAACTAGAGATCCAGGCATGCACTTGGGTAGTGTGAGACACATGAAGCATGCAAGTATCTGCATGATTTTTTCATATCATAGCTCCACTTCTAAATTGATGTTATCGACTAAAATTAGTAGTAATTATGCAAGCTCCATGGAAGTTAGTTATCTGCATGATCATATAAGCATGCAAGAAAGGTAATGGGGCAATGACTGGTGAGGCCATGTTAATTATTTTGCACTAGATGAATTTAATTTTCAAGCACTTTTAACTAAGCTTAAGTGTGTTTTTTACTTATATGATCATTTTGGTGCAATGATCTACAGCATTTATAATCATATACAAGATTTTATCCAAAGACCATTTGGTGGAGTCCCAAGATCACGAACCTCAGATCCTAGACGTAGTAAATCGACACAAGGAGTTCAATATCCAGTAAGCAATCATATGCTTGATCTTTGTTTAATCCATAGCTCTCATCTCCTCATGATATTGCAAACATGATTTTAAGTTGCTCAGATGCACATGTGAAATTCATAGATTTACCGTTATGGATCCTACAAGATTGATTGTCTGTGTTCTTAGATATGTTTTTACTCTTGCAAGAACATGTTGCTTTCTTTATGAAATTTTTTATCAACACCCAAGGGTGGTCTTGTGGTTAATGCATGTCTTTCGTCATTCAGTGCTAACATGGGTTCTGTTTGGCCTCAAGGAATGTCTGTCGGTCCCCTATGTGTACTGGCTCATCAACACCCCACTATTAATTCCCCAGTGGATACTAGGTCGACAATCCCCTCTCCTATCCCTTTTATCCTGTTAAAAATCCTCCCAACCTTTCTATTATTCCATCTTATATTGAAACCTTAATGTTATATTTTAATTCCAGCCTAGAAACGATGCTGGCAGAAATATGATCCTTAGAAAATTAAACTTCTGTTGCATTGGTTTTCTATGTTTGCTAGAAGTTTCATTAATTCGTAGTTTGCTACAAGATGCAAACAGCAATCCTTTATGTGCAACTCCTTAAGCTGTTTTCTTTATTATGGATTTGCAGTTGGAATTAAGGAGGAGAGTCCCCAGTAGATCGAGTCCTACCACGTTGTCATTTTGAGTATAACAGATGCAGAGAAGGTATCCTTGTTCCGGAGAGCTAATATTCTGACACGGAAGTGTTTTAACAACCCTAAATGAAAGCTAACTGTAAAGGAGAAGGGAGGAATGAGCAGTCCCATACTGAAATACTATCTATGAGATCCAAGAGCGATCATGGAAAAAGAATACCGTCTATAGGATAGAGATAATTTCATTCTTTTAATCCTTTTGTGGATCGGAAGCTTCTTATTCTCTCTCTCTCTCTTCATTAACTTCAGCTGCTTTTTCTTTTTTACTTGTTTTCCTCTTACCACATCTATTCCACTGTATGTTTATAGTCAGCTTCTGACGTGTAAATATTGTGTACAGTTTTTTTGTACATTTATCCAGAAAAAAAAAGTTGGGAAAGTTCTACGCTTAGCCATGCTTTTGGGTGATAAATGTTGATTTTGTAGATTATTTAACTATGATTTTGCTATCTGTTCGTATCCTCCATAATGGTTTTCTTTTCTTCAGCCATACTTAAGCTTTGTGGCTGTTGCCCTGTTATATGCCACCGTTAATTAGTGATGATGATAACATAATTGCAATGAGAGTTATTTTGCAACCAAAGAAAAATTTTTAACTTTAACTAACCAAAATCTGAGACGACCATTGATCACGATTACTTGTTCAGTGGTTCTGTTCGGGTGTATGCTTTCCAACATGTATAGGTCAAGGCTTCTCTCGGCAATTGTAGAAACTATTTGAAGATATTGATCCTTTGCCACAAAAAATTACTGCAAGCATGTGCTTCCTTTACCATATTTGGGGGTGGATTTAGAATCGGATCCAAACATATGGGCAAATGACAATCTTCATTCTCTCCTTAAGTTGTAACCACCAACCCAGAAAATCTTCCAATAACAAGGACTGCACTGCTAGCCAGTACTTGCTGCACAAACTTCATCAAGGTAGAGCCGTTTACAGAAAAAGAAGAATCCTCACAATCCTCTAACAAGGCTAGTAATTGCTAAACAGTCATCAACACTAAGCCATATCGAAAACAAGTTCTGAGTTCCTCATTCTCATTTGGTAAACAGTAGCCAATTAAAGCTCTTGATGAAAGAGCTAGATGTTTCATAACAAGACAGACAAGTCTATAGCAGATTCCATAGCAATAAACCTCTATCTAACATCCACATAATTAGACAATAACTCTACCCTGGAGTACTAAAAACAGTAAATTAAAACTTGCTTTCACACAAGTGAGAACACTGTCGAAGCATTTGCACCACCAGTTTGGTGCAGCATTGCATCAATCTCATCACCATCCTCCATTTCCAGCTGTTAAAAATGAAAGATGAAAAATGAAATTTCATTATGCATTGAAAAAACTTCAATCAGCAAGTGCACATAGTACAAGTGATTGTGTGGGTAAGAGAAAGAAATGGAAAGATACCTCATCAGGAGTTTGCTCCCCTCGCAGGCGGCGTCCATCAAACAAGAAGGCAATTGAGTTGAGCTCCACAGACTGCCGATCACAATATGCATTCATAAGCTTCTTCAGTTGGGTGCTTCTTTTGATCCTGAAGAAAACTTCATTCCCATCCTATGGTCATAATATAAATTAGTCCAAAATAAAAGGGAGCGCTAAATCCGAGAAGTTAGATTACAAATCTAGAATTTACTACGACAATATCAATACCTTCAATCTGGACAGTTCTCAAGTTGATCTTACTCAACAAATGCATTTAAACTTCTCAAGCCAAAACAGGTAGGAGCACCATTCAATAATAAATTAACAGAGTTTTCTACAAATAAATAAGTCAAATGAAGGCCTGTTCAAGGACACAACAACAATTCAGACCAAATTATTTTCCCAATTTTGCAATGACTTATTAGCCCAAAAGCAGAGAAACTATTTGAACCTACAAATTTTAAGATACAAATTTTCTAAACCCCATAATTTTATCAACAACTGATTTCCCATAATTCATATATCAATCCAAAATTATCCTTTTTACGTGGTTCCAGACTGGATGAATACGTACAAATCATTTGAACATATGCCCAGGGGATGACTAGAAAATGTCAGCCATGCCACAAAGAGTTCAAGAAAGAAACTACTAAAAGATGCTGGAAAAATCAGAATGAAAAATGGACTTTCCTTTCAGCAAGGTTAGGGAGAGAGTATTGTTGTTATGCAACCAAAGAACCAAAGATAAAGTAAAACAGAAAAGTTATAATTACTGGTTACTTTGGTTCTAACACACCACATACACCATATCCTGTGTCCTCTAAATTAATCTAAAGCATGCTAAACCCGTAGCCATGCACTGCTAAACACCATAATCATGCTTTTCAATTATCAGTAATACTATTGTATAACCTGAAAACGCAATCAATTATTACACAGCTCAGAATCACCAGATATTAACTCTCTTCTCAAATATTAAACTCAGTAGTAACAAAGAACAATCACTGCCACTACCAATCAGCATCGTATTAAACTCCAAAGTTCAAAAATCAAACACATGAACAAATTACAAAAAGAACATTTAACATTCAAAAACTAAGAAATCAATACTTACCCATATTACAAAAAAAAAAAAAAACCTTACCCATATTACCATAATTTTCTATAAATGATGACATAAAATTTAAAACAACCCAACAAACAAACCAAAGGGGAAAAAAACAAATGACGACTTTTAATGGTAGAAATTTCATCTCCGAACAATAATAAACGAAAGATGAAACTTCTACAGATTCAATCATAACTGATTAAAACAACTTCAACTCCGATCCAAAAAGGTTATTAATTGAAAGAAAATCAATATACAAAAAAAAAAGAAAAAAAACCCTAAAAGAAGTCAGTTAAAAAGAAAAGAAAAAAGACCTGGCCTTTGACTTTGAGGTTGATGTGAGCCGCGGCTTGGTCGCCGGGCTTCTTATCTTCCTCTTGCTGCCCCGACATTCTTTCCCTGCTCAGCGATTTCTTTCTGCCTCCGATTCTTCTCAAATTCAATTTTTTTTTTTTTTTTTTGTAAAATTAGGGTTTTCTTTTTTTCTTCGTTTGCTTTGATCTCCACTTCATTTTATAGCACGGCTTCGAGACTATTCTTATTCCTTTTTCCCTCATTACTAGTTTCGTGAGCGTAATGACGTGGCAAAATGCTACTGGTTCATTCTTCTCACTTTTGTTGTTGAACTAATCAGCAACTGACATGTGGTTACATGATTTGATTTGAGAAACACCTAAGCAACGCTGTTTTCCTATTTGGTCAAAAGAGCAATTCCGTTTAAGTTGGATAATTGTTCCTCTTAATATATTTGATTAAAATATTTTGTGGACTACATTAAAGTTGGTAATTTATATAAAATCCATTCATATAAAAAAATTCACATTTCAAATTATGAGAAATATATTAAAGTAATTTTAATTGATAAGCAAATTTGAACAGTGCCAAATAAATTATAAATAATACTACATCTGCAAGTTCGTATTGTACAAGATAAGAGGAATTTTTTATTTTCTCTAGTAACAAGGAAACACGTTGCTGTCATTTCCCTCAGTTCTCCATCCTTTTGTTGCAAAAGAAACACGTTGCTTGTTTCTAGATTAAGCCCGAGGCCGGACCTTTTCTCCAATTTCAGGTTGGGCTTGGACGTCTGGCTGGGGACCACTCACCCTCAGAGCTCTTGATTTGGCCCATTTTGAGAATTGTGAACGTTTTTTGGTTCATTTAACAAGTGAAATTCATTAAAACAGACAATACCCACAGCAAAATACACCACCAAGTTGCTTAAACAGAGCAACAATGCATGAGAAATACACGTATATAATATTTAAATTTCAAATTAAAAAATAAATACTGTTTAATTAATTATAAATATTTTTCTTGAAGAAATAAAACAAAAATCAAACAAACTATGGGTGGGGTATGAGAGTGAAAAGCTTCTCCCCATGAACGATAGATTAAGCTATGGAGCCAAATTACGCTTACTTAGAATTGCCCACAGAGTAACAAATGAGCGTGTAATGAGGTAGGAATAGAATTAATGTTATCAAGTTTAAGCCAAATTCTGTCTAGGAAGATGGTGCCATGTGATGTGGGTGAGCATCAAATTTGAACAAGTGAAAAAATGTCCGTGCAAATGAAACATTTGATCACAGTTCTGTTAATGGTTTGGGTTGCGGGAGAATGGAACCAAAGCAGAGATTACATGTTGTTTGTACTCATTACAGAGCTAGCTTCTTCGCTTTAAATGCAACAATCTGAACCAGCTGGCCGTTTCTTCAGAACTCCACCGTTCCCATGTGGCCTCCTGAGGTTGAAAAGAGACTAAACTGCGCAGTTCTAGAACGTGTTTTTTTTTTTTGGGTGCATTGCACAAAACTGTGTTCATCAAAACCCATGGAGGCAGCATCTGAACGTTAACCTACTTTTTTCACAGATTTAGATGCTGGTTCGCTACACTACACAAAAAGCACAATTATTAGGCAATTTTCTTTTTCTTGCATCCAGTCAAGCACCGGCACTTCCCTGTGCCCAACGTTCAAAAATTGAGTAAAAAAGGGAACCCCCATGTCCAACACTTTTATCTAATACACATGCCATTATTAATTTCTTCACAGGATTCATCACTTTTTATCCCCTACATTTTCCCTACTGCCACCCCGATGAACCCGACTGTCAAAACCGCTCTTTTGGAGACTTTCAGCTCACAACAGGACACGTGGAGAAATGGAGGATGATGATGCATTGAGGTTGATCAAGGTGAGAAGCATAAGAATGTGGGATTGGGGCAAAGAGTAGTCGACATTAAACGGTCGAGTAAGTGGGGCCACGTGGGTGTAGTGGCCAATATAACCTTTTTTTTAAGCCATTTTTAGCTCTTATAGGCCCTGAACCCAAATGGGGGATCGTGGTCCGTGCAGACTCTACCTCGCTCCTTGCCTGCCAGCGCCTCTCTGTCTGTCTCTCTCTCTCTGCCCTTAGGCTTCTTGTCAATTTCCCTGACACCCGGGTCCACCCCACCATCTCGATCTCCTCAAAAATACACTATTCCCACTCACACCTAATCTCCCCGCCCTCACTCTCTGTCTCTCTCTTTTTTATAAATAAACACTAAAAAACCCTACCATTAGCTCTCACTTCCCACTCCCTCACTTCTCACTTCCGCTTCCTCTGTTCTTTTCTGCTCAGCTTCCGAAAAAAGTTAGAGCAGAGCGATGGGGAGCTCCTTCATTACTTCTCTTGTTCTACTCATTTCTGTTTTCACTCTTGCAGGTGAAGCTACATTTTGAGTTCCCATTTTGTTTCTCTCTGCTTGTTGTTTCTCTGGTTAAAAGTTACATATTATCTTTTTGTTGCCATTGCAGATTGTGGTTCTATTGGAGTAAACTATGGAAGAATAGCCAACAACCTTCCGTCAGCAACCAAGGTGGTGGAGCTACTAAAATCCCATGGTCTAAACCGTGTCAAAGTCTACGACACCGACCCGGCCGTTCTCCATGCATTAGCTGGATCAGGAATCAAAGTCACCGTCGACCTCCCCAACGAACAACTCTTCGCTGCAGCCAAGAGCACTTCCTTTGCCAACTCTTGGGTCGAAAGAAACGTCGCCGCTTACTACCCTCACACTGAAATCGAAGCCATTGCCGTTGGTAACGAAGTCTTCGTGGACCCTCACAACACGACCAAGTTCCTCGTACCCGCCATGAAGAATATCCACGAAGCTTTGGTTAAGTTTAACCTTCACTCAGATATTAAAGTCTCTTCCCCCATTGCCCTTTCCGCTCTCCAAAACTCTTACCCTTCTTCAGCCGGATCTTTCCGACCTGAACTCACTGAACCCGTTTTTAAACCCATGTTGGATTTCCTTCGTCAAACCGGGTCGTTCCTTATGGTCAATGCCTACCCCTTTTTCGCTTACGAGTCAAACACTGACGTCATCTCGTTGGACTACGCTTTGTTCAGAGAGAATCCGGGTGTAGTGGATCCCGGTAACGGGTTGAGGTATTTTAGTCTTTTCGATGCTCAAATCGACGCCGTTTTCGCGGCAATGTCTGCTTTGAAATATGATGATATTAAGTTGGTTGTGACGGAAACGGGTTGGCCCTCGAAGGGCGATGAAAATGAGAACGGCGCGAGTATCGAAAACGCCGCCGCTTATAACGGGAATCTGGTCCGTCGGATCTTGACCGGTGGTGGGACCCCTTTGAGACCCAAGGCAGATCTCACCGTTTATTTGTTTGCCCTCTTTAATGAGAACAAGAAATTCGGGCCTACATCGGAGAGAAATTACGGGCTTTTTTATCCTAACGAGGAAAAAGTTTACGAGATTCCTTTCACTGTAGAAGGGGTGAAGAACTACCGGGACAAACGGTCGCCGGTAGCTGGGAATCAACAAGGGCCAGCTGCTCCCGTTAATGGTGGAGGAGGGAGCGTGTCGAAGAGCACGACGGGGAACACGTGGTGCGTTGCAAACGGTGAAGAGGGGAAGGAAAAGCTGCAGGCGGCTCTAGATTACGCATGTGGTGAAGGAGGTGCTGATTGCCATCCGATCCAGCCAGGTGCCACGTGTTACGATCCTAACACCATCGAAGCCCACGCTTCGTTCGCTTTCAACAGTTATTATCAAAAGAAAGGGCGCCAGATGGGAACTTGTTATTTTGGCGGGGCGGCCTACGTCGTCACCCAACCACCCAGTACGTATTCTATCCTAAAGCCATTGATCTTCATTCACTTTTTTAAAATTTAATTCGGCGCATACGAAGAAGTAATTTTTCGCAAATTCTGCTAATTTGCGCTTACGAAGTGCTTTAAGGCTCATGTTAGTGACATGTGAAGTGTAGTTGTTAACCTGCACCATGAGAGTTAGTCGGCCACTTGGGGCCCAACCCCAAGGGATAAAACAATGGTGCACGCCAGGTCAAAAAAAGGCCACGTGATAAGTGGTGAAAGTGATTTTAGAATCTTTCAACTGCGGACGTGGTCTCTATCTATTGGGTCACTGTTGTGGGCCACTGTTTTCTGTGAGATAAACCGTGTTAAATTAAATTTAATGCTGCAGCTCTGCCGCGCCTGCAATTTCCCTACCTGAATTATTGTTGTCCTAGTAAAGTTGACCTTTGGGTGAAGTGAAAGCATTAGTGGAATTCAACTAATTTTAGTTGTAATAAAAAAGTGTGCAAGTGTTGTTTGTAATTAGCTTTAATCTTTCCCCTTTGTTTAAAGGCTAAAAAAATGAGTGTGTTTGTTTTCTTTTGCAGAGTATGGTAATTGCGAGTTTCCCACGGGATACTGAAGACCAAGAATAAAGGACCAAGGGGGAGTGGTTGAAAGAGATAGTTACTAGTGCTAATTTGATTGTAGTTGGTTTTGGGTCTTTTGGAATTTTTTGGGAGGGGGTCTACTGTGTATTTAGTTGGATTTGTTAGGCAAATATTTGGACTACCTTTGTGTATAAATGGATTCTAATTGTGTTTCTAAGTCGACCTTAAATGGGAATTATAAGTTGATTACTACTAGTACTGGGTATTATTTCTCCTTGATTACTTCTACTCTTGTAGCTAAAAGTCACTCGATGCCAAAATGCAATGAATTGAGATGGGCTGGAAAGTGGAAACTACAAAGAGTCTATATGTCTAAAGATGCTCAATTACTTCCCATATGTTGGCATTCTATAGCTGCTGTTTAGCTCCAGTTGGGGCATTGATTGATTGCCCAGAATAAAGGGATTTCAATGGCTTTCAACTTTTCATGGAATATGTTGTCCCAAAGTTTTAACACTTTCACAAGCTTTCTCTTACTTTTAATCAATGGCCGTAGAGTAAGACTTAGGAATTGTAGTTGGATTTGGAAATAATGATTTGCATAATTGTGGTTAAGGCACAGTGGATCGGAAATCACTTTTCTTTGGGAAAGAAAATTCCTCTGAATCTGTTTGGTACCACCTTTGTTTTATACATTAGCTTCTTGGAATCTGACTACACAACCGAACTCAGTCCCTGTTTTGCTCAAATCGCCAAGTGATGGGATTCTTTGAGCCCCAAGTTTCTTGCTTTTTCTCCACCTTTAAA